TTCAAAGGGAAAAGACCACAAACATATAACGTAGAGTTTCGATTTTTCAATCTAAGATCGAACAATTCCACAGATTTATATGAAACAATAAGATCGTCTTTAAAACTGATTAAAATTTCATCCAGAATTTCCATCAAATTAACGTCCTGTAATTTTTCTTTATTTCCTTAAAACAATAAATACTACCAATACTTGTTTAGATATTTCCTCGAAATAGTAAACTATTACAAAAGTTGACATTAAAGTTGCCAACAACAAGACACCAGCTTCTGTTATATTTTTCAGATACGACATAACTGTGGTAAGATTAGCCATTATGAATGCAGAATGATAAGCGCTACTAACAGCCAAGATAAAATCTTTTAAAAATTTTACCAAGAGAACTTGTTGAAACGTTTGGTGGACCTCAGTGACTACGGTATGTAGCAAAGTACTTATTTCCATCACTTGCCGAAATTTGTGATCCACGTCCTTTGTTTTTTGAGATATTTTCTCCTGAACGGCTGTTACAAAATTTTTACCAATTTCATTCAAAACAAATAAAAAGAAAAAAAGCATCATATTGAAATTATAACTGTAAATAAGCAAACTATGAAAACACAGTATCGGAGTATAAAGACTCGTATCGTATTGTAACAGAGTATTACTGATGAAAACAAACTGTACTAATGTTAAAATTAATTGAAAAATTAAGTATAATAGTAAATTTCTTCCTATTTTACTGTAACGGATTTGATTTCCAGAAAAGTGACACAGCATATTTTCTGCAAGAAGTAAGTTAGAAAATATTTTTTCAATTTTTTTACGTTTTTGGTGTGAACAAATAATAAAACTAATATCTAACAAAAAAATCGATAAAAACCGAATAATCATAATATAACTAGACACATGGTTCTTCAACTTCTTGGTTCTTATATAAAATGCTGTGACCATAGCAATAAATAACAAAGAAAATATATAACTTTTTGTAGTTTTGATTACAAATTTTCCATTTTTTAAAGTGTATATTGGTAGCCCGTTTAAAGACCATAATGTGCAAATATATTTAAGAATTTTAGAAATATTTGATTGATTCATTTTTTTAGAACTACTGTGCTTTTTAGTAGAATTATTTCTATTTAATGGCATGAATCAACAAAAATCTATATTCAA